GAATAATCATTCACAACTGCTCAAATGTCTTGACAAATATAGTACATACCTGGCCCACACAGCAAAATTATATTTTCAAAATATTGTGGACATATTGTCAATACAAATTAAAATATTTGATTTAAACTGTCAAAATATTTTAAAATATTGTCAAAAAATTTTAGAAACATTTTTTGGCAGGAGATCAAACATTACTACAATATTGTAGCTATATATTATCACAATATTGTAGCTCATTATTTTCATAATATTTTTGAGATATATTTTCACAAAATTTTTGCTATATATTTTCATAATATTGTTGAGATATATTTTCACAAAATGTTTGCTATATATTTTCATAATATTGTTGAGATATATTTTCACAAAATGTTTGCTATATATTTTCATAATATTGTTGACATATATTTTCACAACATTTTAGCCATATATTTTCACACTATTTTACCTATATATTTTCACAATATTGTAACTCAATATTTGATTTATGCAATTTCAAAATATTTAGTATCAAATATATCGTAAGTTATCAAACTCCTATAATATTAGGTTTATAACAGACAATTTATAGTACTACTATAAATATAAATTAACCAATAATAAAATATTATAAACTGGTTGTGTAATATATTGTATTTTATTTGTTTTTAACAATTTTGTTTAATTTATGTTTTTGGTCTTGAACATTTTAAATTTACTATCCATTATTGAGATATAACAATAAATATGAAAATTAAAAAACCATACTTTAAGTGAATTTAAACAAAATCTTTAATATATTCTGATAAATATATATTAATTTGAATATAAATAATGAAAATAAATTACTTCATATTATAATGAAATAATAAAAATATTGCAGTAAGTATAAATAATATTTTAACAAAATCTTATATGATAATAACAAATATGTGTTCAAGTATAAATGCATACTGCAGTTTAAAATAAAAAAAAAATGTATCACATAATAATAATTAATAATAAACTATACTGCATAAGGGAATATATGTTTAAACAAATACTGCTTAAATATGTTCAAGTATTATATATATAGTATTAATATACATACATTTGAATAAATTTAAATTTAAATGAAAATAAATTACCTCATATTATAATGAAATAATAAAAATACTGCAGTTAGTATAAATAATATTTTAACAAAATCTTATATGCTAATATAGAAATATATATCAAGTAATATTAACAATTGATCAATTATCATCATCATGATTAGTTTGCAGAGATTTTTCAGCCATTTTTTTTATTCTTGGTGTTGCTTGGGCCATCCAGTTCTTAATGGGTTTTTCAATATCAATGTTGGCCGTATCTTTAAACTTTTTCATTTTACGAACAATATCTGTAAAGTAATTATATTATATTATTATATTAATATATAATGTATTTCAATACAACTACTGTTAAACTTTTATTACCTAAATAATTTATACTCAGTATAGTTATTAAATTAGTTTATAATAATATAATATAAAAGTTTTGAAACACAGGATATTTGAAAACATGTTATTTAATTTTATACCTGAACTTGTATATGATTATAAAATATTATAATATAGTATTATTTATAATAAATAATACCTACATAATTATTGTTCGAAATATTCAAACCAAATTTGGGTTTAAATTACAAAAATAAAAATGTATTAATTCTAGCTGTTATGATACATAACCTTTTATACATAAAAGGTTTTAAGACTGAAGGGAGTGAATAATTAGTGTGCTTATAAAGTAATAATTTCCGTATAGAATGTCAAACAAAAAATTAGATCACACCTCAAATTCAAATTGAATAGTTTTTATTTTTAAGGTACTTGAGTTTATATATTATGGCACATTGCATAAAAAAATTACAACCAATAGCAATGAGAATAATAAATGACTATATGATACACTGATGTGTAAGATCTAGTGCTAAATAATATATCTAACTAAAATACTATAAATTTCTAAAATATCACTTTGTATATTATAATGATATATCAAATAATTGTTACCATATATGATGGAACAACACTGCAATGTTGAAAATTGATGTTTGCCCTTAAATCCGATAAAAGAATATTTTGAAAGAAATTGGTCAGTGAACAGACGCTGCATTATTTTCCGTATTGTTTCTGGCAATGTATTTCCCACAAAACGAGATAGTAATATAATCTGAAAAGTAATATTTTTATCACCTATATGTTATAAATTAAGAAGTATATACATTAATTTAATAAGTATAATAGTACCGTACATTCTTTCAGAAGCCCTCCCCCCCAGACAACATTAAAAATACAATGACCTTTATAATTATAAAACTAAATAATAATAAATATGATACATTTACTTGAGTACTAATTAATATATAATAAAGGGATATTAATTATACACTATATTTACTTTCTGTGGAAAATAAGTTGTAAAGCATAATACAAATTATGTTATAAATCATTAATGAATTATATAGGCCAATATAGTGTTGAATTGTTAACGCATTCATTAAAAAAAAGTATATAGTATAAAAAGGGTAGTTGCTCGAAAGCCTGGAACATACCTACCTACATAAATATTGTTTAGGTATAATAATATATAGAGTAAATTATAAACTATACGCACCACTAACAATAATGGCAATAACAATAATAATATATTATACTCAACATTCATACCACTGCATTTCTGTATGGTTTATCATTAATCAGCTTTTCTTCCATATTGTTTAGATCTTCATCGTTGTCAATAACTCCTAAATCCACATCATCATAATCATTATAGACCATGGCTGACCCTTTTGATTCTTGAGAATCTAACTTGGCTAAAATTTTTTCCAACAATGATTCTTGGGCATCAAATCGTTTGTGAAAATGTTCTGCATCATATTTTAGGTTGGCCAAAGACCGCCTAACACATTTTCTGAATGCTGGGGAAAAAATTAACAAAAAAATTTTTTTAAACCTGAAATGTTTAGGTATATTTATAATTATTAATATATAATAAAAATACCTTGATCACTTTCATCTGCAGATTTATTAGCACTTGACGGTGAAATTATTGGTTGGACTGTGTAATCAATGTTTTTATTTAACTGATCAGAACTAGAAGTGTGATGTGTTTTTTTTTTCTTACTTCCTGAACCATAAGAGACAGCAGTTTGCGATGTTGATGGTTCTTGATGGTCAATGTTATACAGCCCATTTTCTGGAGACGTGTCATAATAACTATTATCTTTAAATGATTGACTAAAAGGAACAGTACTTTCTTTAGTATTTGTCTTGTATAATTTATCCACATCGGAATCATAATCAGTTGATCCTAGAGTTATTTATAAAAACATAATAAATGTAAAGTATAGTTTTGTATAGTTATTAATGCAAAAAAGATGAGTAGGTACTTCCTTAAAAATATTTGTTTGTGAATAATGAGCCTGATTATTTTCTTTTACATAAAGATAAATATATAGTCATATAGTTTAATATAAAAGGGCATCATTTTAATATTATCCCTTTTTAAAAATGTGATTCCACCAAAGGCGACAAAAAATAAAATATATTGTTTTTCAATTTAGAAATAATATATATGTAGAATAAATAAAGTTAACAATTAATATAAAAAGTGAAAGTTGAAGACTATAATAAAACATTTCATTCGGTTACCTACTTGATAAAGTTGATTTTTTCTACTAAATGTTTTAATTTACTAAAATTCATACAAACTTATTTATTTACATCAGTTTGACATTTTTATACTAACCATTTGTAACAAAATCCATATTAATATGGACTTTTTACAAATGTTGACTCTATTTATAGAATTCTGATACAAGTACATCTCAAAGTTTATAAGGATAGTAAAAAATGCCCAAAATCAGATTATCTAAGGAACATAACTTATATCATTTAATTTTTAGGTAGGTATGTAATTAAAAATACATACCTTCATTATCATCAGTTGTCACAGATGCATCAAAAACAGGAATTTTTGGTAGATGAGATTTTTCTTTAAACTTTTTTGTGATTGGTGGAGACGTTTGTTTTATTTTTCTGAGTTTTCTAGTGATTTTATCATCATCATTTGAAGACAGTTCATCGGTTTTTTGTGCTTTAATGGCTTTAGCTTCTGCTTCAACGTAACTAACTTCAAATTTAAAACAAATTTATGATTTCAATTATGTATATCAATGTAGTAATTTTAATAACGTAGATAAAGTCTCACTTATAGTACTTACCAATATTTTCTAGCAATGGACGTGCTTTATAACTATTAAAAGTAACTTCATCAGGCTTTGAACGACGTTTTATCATGTTTTTTGTATCTGTTCTAAGATTTTTCTTAGGCCATTGGCATATACCATTTGAATACCAAAAGTTAGGTACAACATTAACTGTGTTGTCAGTTTCAAACAGCACAACCGTCCACATATTGCAATAATAACTTCTGTACACAAAATGTTAGGATAAGAAAACATTATCTATAAATAAGTATTAATTTTAAATAATTTATTTGTAACATTATGAAATAACAACTATAATATACTCTAAACATATTTTAATAGTTATGATTTGTAAAATAGATTTACAGAAAAGTCAGTAAAATTAATAAACAAATATTATAGGTATACATTATAACCAATATTATAACTATTTTTTAACTAACATATAATAAAATACATATTTTAAATTAAATTGCTTTATCTTATATAATATGCAATTATAGGTAACCACTAACCAGTTATTTTAAATTTATAGTTACTTTTTTATTGATTACAAAATAATAATACCTAATAGTCGTAAATAGTTTAATTAATCAGCTAATACAAAATTTACAAAGTAAATGTAAGTATGTATATATTATAATCTGTATATTTAATACTACCTACCCATTAAAAATAAGTAGTTTATGAAAAAAAAAAACAAAAAAAAACAGTAACCTAAATTAAAGTAGAAATGTCTATAATTATTCTTTCATCTAACCACCTTATTAACATTGTACATAATAAATTAATTGTGGTGGAGAATAGGTACCACAATTTGTTTATTTTCAAAATCAAAAATTAATAATTTTTGTTTTACATCTGTTATACTAAATTGAACTAAATCATTAGAAAGATTTTTAACAATGTAAATGTCAAGTTTTGATGATTTTATAGGGATATCATATAAGTCTTCTTTTACATTAAATTTGTGTCCAATGATACTAGAGTTTAACATTTCAACAATTCTAACTATCTCTCCGCGATGAGTTATAACATAACAATTTGGTTTATTAGAATTAAAATTAATTTTTTGTTCATTTTCAAATTTCCAATTTCCAATTTCACATTGCTCTTCATACCGTTTGATGACCTGTTGTAATGGTTTTTCATGTTTGCGAAGCATAGATTTTAAACTTTTCATATAATTTTCGAATGGAAAAGCACTACAACTGTCTAAAGGTCCATTTTGAATATAATCATCTGTCAAGTGTAGCAAGCCATGTATGTTATGTGATACAAATTGTTTACCATATAGCACTTGAAATGTTTTTACAAAGTATTCTAATAATTGTTTGGCAAAGTTTAGATATTGAGAAAGATCGGAGCCCAATAGAATTCTCATTGCTATGTTCAGCGCTAAAAAATGTTGATAACATTCCTTGCTAAGCACATTTTTTAGAACAACAATACCTGTATACAAAAGAAACTGCCTCAGTTCTGTAGCTTTCCATCTGTTAATTTCATCTAAAGATCTTGGTTTTCTAGAGAAATCATTGGTGATATTTATCTTTAAGCTACAAAGTGATGTGCTAATAAGTTTTATTTTCCAACTAGGTAATCGGATATTAAGAGGTCCCTTGATCCAAAGATTAATTAATTTTCTCATTGCACCCAAACATACTAAATGCATGTAATCCATAGAAAACAATGAAATAATATCAATGCCTGGGATAAGTGATATACATGATATAGTAGATGAAATGTGATGTTCTTCATCTTTCATACACACATAATCATCATGAGTTCTACTTGCACTACCATTATCAATGTAAGGAAAACAAATACGGTTGTTACAATATTCTCCTTCATGTACACAACGGGTGCAAGAAGAGAAGCCAGAATGGCCCTTTATTCTCATAATAAAGGATTTGGCAGGTGCATCACAACATATTACTTGAATTTGAATTTGAATTTTTAAATTGGCTATAGTAATACCATTTTCAGTTAACTCTACAATTTCTGAAATCAAATCTTGTAAGAATTCATTGCTGTCTTTTGGTTTTTCATACCCATGGTATACTCCTACTGGAAACACATATTTATGATGAGGTTGTATATAAGCCAATATTGGCCAAAATTGACTGGAACTACATTTTGATAAAGGCAGTCCATCGATACCGATTGCGATTTTAACTTTGTCATCTAAAGAAAAAATTGATGCACATCTTTTAATACCATTACCCAATCCAAAATGATAATATTCAGCAGTGGAGCTCATAGTTCTCAAATTTAAAATTTTGGTTGATTTATTGTGTAGCAATGTCCTACAATCTTTTGGCAAAAAGTCAAGGCCGGCTTTATTTTTTAGTACATCTAAAAGCGCATTTACAGCATTTTGAGGAACATTAAAATCTACTGCCCATTTCCCAATAGCATGTTTAACGTTTTTTTTATGGTTAAAATGTACATCATCTTCATGAATTTTATTTAATCCACTTATTGATGCTCCCTCGTTATTACTTATGACATACTGAGTGTGGTCCAAGTTATCAAATCCAACAGATAAATCTTCAATAGATACACTCTTGGAATTATTTTCCACCATACAAGAACAATCATGTCGATTTTGATCATTTGTTATACTATTATAATTCAAAACCAAATCGTCATCATCAACATTATTATCATCATCATTGGAACAAGATGATTCTAAAGCTAGAAGTTCATTTTGAATTCTTCTACGTTTGGTTCTATATGATCGCGAATTATACATTATTTATTATAGTTTTGTACCTACCTACCTGTTACGGTAGTAACATACTATATTATATTTAATATAATAGAAATATAGGTATACCTATATAATATTGATAATATAGTTATATTATATAATATTATAATATATTATTATAATTATATCATAGGTAACAATGAAGTAACATAATATTAGAATAAACCGACCTGTAACCAAATGTGTGGTGCCTTGATTCCTTATTAACACAGCAGGTTCACTTGACTCTGGACGAATTACGGTGACACTTGAACGACGTATTAGTTAATTAACTATTAAACGGACTGTGCGCGTACGATGGACGCAAATTAAACTTCGTAAGTCGTAAAGACGGAATATATTAAAAGTTTAGACCAAGGTGAGACGACTGACAGAAAACAGAAAACAAAAAACAGTATTGTTGTGGGCAAAAATAAGATTGACGGGCACACGCAAGCACACGTGTGTAAAGTAGGTAAACGAATCTGTTAATAATATGTGCGACTGCGACAGCGACGTTTCCGCATTTTCGGATTGGAGGTTATTTATATTTTGATAAAGCAATATAACCGATGCCGTGACCGTTATTATATTATTCAACGAAACGGTAGATTTACTAGCGCCACGGGCGGCATTTTATGCAAGCTATCTCTTTACACTATAATATTACGGGCTACGCATAGATATATATTATTAAACATTAACTTAATATATATCTATGGGGCTACGTGTAGGCGGCTCAAACTCGCTTGCGCTGTATCTGCTGTGGGCTGTGGCAGCGTCGGACGTACCAGTTACACCGTCTATGATTAAACCATAGAACAATAATAACTATGATTAAGCTTAATCAGCTGATAACAGATATTTAACCGGCCCTTAGATCATCTACAACCAAATTTGGCCGGTTAAACAGTGATTAACTTTAATCAGAGACGGTGCAATGGGTATTACCCATAAGTAGTAATAAAACGAAAACGACTATCGCTAATTCGCCAATGATACTATATTATAGTTAGAATAGGTATCTATCTACAATTTACTAGGCAACTATACGTCATTCTCGCGTTTCGTGGAAATTCTGTACAAGAATTTTTCAATATTTAAGTATTTTTAAAATAACGCACCGTCTTGCCCTCAGAAATATTGTCACAATTCAATATATTATAATAGGTAGGTAATCTTATTCTACATAGAACCAAAATTGAGCTTAGTTCTAGTACTCAGGCTGCGTAAACGAGTTTTGTCAATGTCGTACGTGTATTAAGACGGAGACAACAAATATTATGGGGGTCGCGAGTGCAACAACGTCTTATAAACACCACTTTTTTTGTATTTTTCAAAATACATTTAGTATTTAGTTTAGATTAGAGTGGATATTTATACGGTGGTTACAGGCAGTGGCGTCCGCAGGATTTTTCAATGGGGGGGGGGGGGGCTTGAAAATTAGTTACAAATTTATTTTTATTTTGTCCAGTCTAAAAATTTCAGACGTTTATTTGAGGTATTTTAAAATGTTTGTAACTTTTCAACTTTTCTGGTAGAAAAAATGCTCTTATCATAAGCTTCGATGCCCAGGTCGAAATTGAATCTGCTCAGTGCTTTTAAAAGTACCTAATTGGAGAAAAAAAAAATGAAAACTTATTTAAATTGTTTTTTAACAATAGCTTGGTTACAGTGACGTATTTATGGGGGGGATATGGGGGATAGACCCCCTCCCTTACCCATGTTTTTCCATGTATAAAGTACAAACTGCTGCAGTACTGTTGTTATTTATAATTTTGTTATCCTGTGGGCATGTGAGTGACATTACACAACATTTATTATTATTATATACCTTACATGGAGTAGGTAACTAACAAAAAGTTGCAATAGCACAAAACAAATTTTGATATCCCCCTCCTAAAGAAAATCCTATATACCTACGCCCCTGCTTGGTTATATAGTCCTCACTTGGATTGTATTTGACTAATTTAATTTTTTTTTTATAAATGTAAATAAAAAATTATTTATCCGGTCGAAAAGCTTAAAAATGTAATACGTAAGTTTTTTTTACATATGCATTTAAAGTTCAAAACAATTTAACCACAGTTAATTTGTAGTTCAAAACTTATAAAATATAAAATATGTATAGCTAAGGCTAGACAATTTAATACAAGGTCTTTCATACAAGTAGTTCATTCTTTTACCGAAAAATTACAGATAATTTATGAAAATTGGTATGCAAATACAATGTTTTTTCAAAAATGAATTCATTCTGGTAAGACATATATGAAAGTTACGTCTTGCTTACTATAGTTGACAGTTTAAACTTGATTAATAATTTTTTTAAAAAGTAATAATAATACGGGCAATGGGGGGGGGCTTTAGCCCGTTAGCCCCCCCCCCCTGCGGACGCCACTGGTTACAGGTTGTAATTATTCGTCTAGTTTTTAAACGATCAAAAACGCGGTTGTCAAAACGTCGGAGCTATATTATAATTAATACGAAAATCCTAATTTTACCATTTTTTTTTTTAATACTTAGGTATAATAGTCAAACAACGAAAACGCGACGGAACACGCCGCGTGCGAATAGACCAGCCCTTTAATAGTTAAACTACTTAAACTGCGCAAACAAACTGCACAGTGCCCGACCTTAAATTTGCTCAAACTGTACGCGTGTAAATGGAAACCGCGTATAGACTGCGCACAGTTCAATACATTTTGGAGTTTTCGAGTTCAGGCGATTCTTGAAAAAAACTGTGCAATTTTAGCTGTTACTATACTAGTAGTTCAAACATTTAAGTATAGTGCACGTACGTTTGTGTATAATATGACGTAGTTACATATAGCCGTATATATAGTCTTGTTTGACCAAAGGCAGACATTGACTGGAGGAAAGGCTGATATATACATATATTGTATATTATATTATAATAGTCCGTCTGAATCGGTAAAAAAAAATAAAATTAGGTATAGCAATGGGATAACATTGAATTTAGTCAAGCAAATACTTTTGGGTTATCGGAGTTGAGTCCAACCGATATTGTTAAGCTGCAGTGGCGTAGCCCGGGGGGGGGGGGGCTGAGGAAGCTGCAGCCCCCCCCCCCCGGAATGTAAAGAAAATCACAATTTGTCGTCACAATTTATAAAGTATCGTTACTTTATAATGATCATATTATTATTATATCATATTATAGGCGTATATGGGCCAACTTCATTTGATACAAGAAAATTTATGTTAAAAAAAATTCAAATAAATGTTGAGACGTTTGGTATAGGTACCTTATTGATATTATTATATAGTTATAATTTATAATTACTATATACATATATAGCTAATTATATAACTTATAATAGCTGTTAACTTAATTATAATGCGATAACTACGATAAAAAATAGTATAAATATAATCTTTAAATATTTTCAAAACATTGGATGAAAATTGATGTATAATATTTGATATGTAATAGTGTGAAAATGTTGTGACTATATTTGGGTTTAAATATTTGGAGATCAAATATTTTCAAAATATAAGAAGGAAAATTGATATATAATATTTGATATGTAATAGTGTGAAAATGTTGTGACTATATTTGGGTATAAATATTTGGAGATCAAATATTTTCAAAATATAAGATGGAAAATTGATATATAATATTTGATATGTAATAATTTGAAAATGTTGTGACCATATTTGGACGGTTTTCGGGAAAAGGGGCACAAGTCAAATTTTGACTTTTTCAGATTATGCATCAATTTTGTAGGAAATTTTACGCCCGATCGAATGGTACCACTGTTATTTAGATATGGCTGTTTGTTATCGCATAATTGACAAATGCCGTTGGGCACTAGTCAATTTTCGTTATATGCGAATGGTCACAAGTCACTAGTCAGTAGTCACTAGTCATAAATCATAACACAGTCTTCAACATGGGGCACTAGTCAATCTTTGTGATATTCGAATGGTCACAATTTTATTAGTCTTAAAACAGACTTCAACAATTTTCATAAACCTAGGTAGTCCGTACCTGTGATTTATTTGTTTTATCTATAGTATTTGTTTGGTGTTGAAAATGTCTAAACGAACTAATTTACTCATGTTATTAGCAAAAGGTAAGTAATTATTTTAATAATAATATAACTATTTATCAAATATTACATGTACACATTAAATTGTTCAAGAATATTTAAATATATAATTAGATTATTGTATTATTACATAATAAGAAAACTTATTGAATCATAATGTATTGTAATTGTTATAATAATTAGGTACCTATATTTAAAATGTATATGCAAATAATAATAATGTTGGTGTTGGTAGGTAAATAAAATTACTAACCTATTGGTTATTTTTATTTACATTATATATATTATATCATATCATATCATATTAGTTAAATAATTAATATATATGTATCTATAAATAGATAGATTAGAAGTAGGTTTACAAAATGTTCTGATTATAATATTATCTCTACCTTTTTAGTACTTTTCTAAAAATTACCTAGAGCACCTTATTACTTAAAATAGGTACCTACATTAATAATACAATAATATATTATGATAATAATTAAATATTAGTAAAACTTAATTTTCTTTTTTGACATAGAAAAAAAACAAAAAGAGGAACATAACAATGCAAACGTAAGAAGAAAATTGTTTGATAGTAATTGTACTTCTAAAACGTTAACAAAGTCTTTCCATCACAATCGTATACAGGTGAATATATTTAGATTAAAAGACTATTATTCAATATTCATAGGTATAGATTCAAAAGTTTAAATAATTATGTTTTATTATGAAAATATATTACAATTAGGAATGGGTAAAAGAAAGTAACCACAATATAGTTTATGGTAATGGAAATGCTGAAGTTCAGAGTGTTCAGACACATGATGTAAGTTACATTATTTCCTTTGATTTTTACACTTACTACCCTTATTACTTTATTCATTTTGTTTCTTTTATTTTTGGTTTAACTCATTTTAGATAATTGATAGTTGTCAACCTAAAACTGTAGATAATGTTTTAAATCTTGATGGAATAGATTTTGAAATTGTGTTTGAGAATGAAGTAACTGATTTAAATACTACTACTAATGCAGATGATAGGATTCTATGTTCTGGATCTAAAGAAAGTGATAAGCTAGAGGTAAGCATAATAAACACAAAATAAGTATATAAACACCTATGCAAATTCTATTTAACAAGGATAATAATGTTATGATCTCCCTTTATAATACAGTTTTATATGGTTAGTATATTTTTATGTAAATAACCTACTTAAAAAATAAATATTTTGCCTACTATTCTAATAATAATATTTTTTTTTAATGTAGTTATAATATTATGATTATGTTTTAAAAAATATTTCATTAACTATGCAATGCAAATATTAATCTATTAGAACTTTAAGTTATATAATTACCTGATTATAAAAGATTTACACTTTTTAGTGCAAACTGTATTCAATTTTAACATACATATTGTAGAGCTATTGAATAGGTATTTTAATACGATTAGATTGTATATACACTAAAAACTGAAAACATCAATTATTATTTAAATAATTTAAACATTTTTTTTATTGTTCTATTAAAATATATAATTATTTAATTGATTTTTAAATCAAGTTATAACATTTTTTGTTAATACAAACTAGTTACAAAGTGGTAAATGTCAAAATGAAAATTGGAGCAGTTCAATCAAGACATTAAGTGTAATTCCGGGTACTCCAGAAAATATTTTAGTAGAAGATGATGAACATGATATTTTGGATAATGAAATTGATGTATTAATTCCAAATAAAAGAAAGATTAAAATTAGTGTTAAAGGAGAAACAAATGAGTTTAGAAAATACAGAAAAGTGAATAGAAATAGTGGGTTAGAATACATTACCAATAAAGGCAAAATTGTCAAAGCCAGATCATCTGAGCCATTAACCAATTGTAGATCAAAATGTAATACTAAAATTGATAATGAATTGCGTGAAAATTTGTTTAAATTTTATTGGTCAATGAAATGTTTTACTAGAAGAGTAGGTATCTTATATTTCCGGATTGATACATTTTACTGAAAAAACAACAACAAGAAAACGCAGATTTACCCCTGAAAAGCAAAAAAATAGGGAAAAAACATACCATTATTCTGTTCCAAAATATGGTAACTTAGTGTCAGTTTGCAAAATATGTTTCCTTAAAATATTTGGAGAAACATCTAAGTTTGTGCGCAATGTCTGTGCCCAAAAATTAAACTCTCCAGTAAGCAATACATCACCAGATAAAAGAGGCAAATCAGCACCAGCAAATAAAACAAGTTATAAGGAAATAATTTTTATTAAAGATCATTTAAAAAGTCTCCCTACCTATGAGAGTCATTACTGCCGAAAGGAAACAAGTAAAAAATATCTACCACCATTCTTTACTTTACAAGCTGCCTATGATGAATATAAAAAATCTGCTCAAACTCCTGTAAGTCGTACTATATATGAAAAATATTTTAAAGCCTCCGGACTTAAAGCCAAAAATCCAAAGAAAGATACGTGTGTAGCTTGCGATAGAATTCATATGCAACTTTCAAACATTAATATTACTGCGGATCAGAAAACCGAACTCATGTCTGAACAGATCAAACACCAAAATCAAGCTGAACAAGCTTACACCTCAAAAAGAAATGATTCATCATGTGTAACAAAAGACAAAAAATGTATTTTAGCTTTCGATCTTCAACAGTGTCTTCCAACACCAAGCTTAGAGTCTTCTGTTGTGTTTTACAAACGTCAGTTGTGGACATACAACCTAACAGTCCACAATATCATATCCTCTACGGCTTCATGTTATATCTGGAGTGAACCCATTGCAAAAAGAGGTGCAAGTGATATAAGTTCTTGTGTTTTTGATTTTTTGAAAAAAATATCTCCAGATATAGAGCACGTTGTAATGTACAGTGACTGTTGCTCAGGTCAAAACAAAAATAGTATTTTTATGGCAATGTGTCTCTGGTACTTGGAACATAATAATTCAATAAAAATAATTGATCATAAGTTTATGGTTCCGGGTCATACTAGGATGGAGTGTGATTCAGACCATGCTAGGATTGAGAAGGCAAGAAAAAGGTACACAGGTTCAATAAACCATCCAAATGACTGGACACAAATGATTCGATGGGCAGGAGGTAAAAAATTTGAAGTGATTGACATGATTCAAAGTAATTTCTATAATTTCAGCAGCCTCTTAAAAACTAAATACAAAATGCCAAAACAAAATATGGTAGGAGATAAATTTTTGTTTCAACAGACTAAATGGTTAAGGTATATAAAAGGAAAAATAAACACAGTTTTTTACAAAACCTCCTTAACAGAAGAAGAAGATTTTTTAAGTCTTGATTTGTGCCGTAAAAATGTAACAAATAATAATATTTTACCTAATACATATAACGAAGAGTTACCAATAACCACTGAAAAAAAAAAAGATCTTCTGTCATTATTACCATTGATACCGGAAGTGTTTCACCAATATTACATTAATTTAAAAACAAAAAAAGGTATTAATGATCCTATTATTTCAGATGATGAAGACTGTTAATACTGTGTTTTTTTTTTAATTGAATAATAATTTATAATAAAATAAAAATAAAAGTTTATTTTATGTTCTACATTACTAATAACTAATACATTGTTTTTTTTTTTTAAATGTTTTATAATGAAATAAAATAAATAAAATGTATTTTATGTTAAACATTAGGATTTGAAAACATTAGGAAACTAATAATTCGACAACATTTTAATTAATTTGTATGAAAGCCTAAAGGATAGGAAAGTAAGTTTTCTTCAGTTATAAAAATAGTAAAAATCCAGTCATATTATATTATTTTTGAATAGCAAATAGTCACAAGTCAAAACAAGAGAAAGGGCACAAGTCATTATTGGAGTTGTTTTGAATAGCGAATGGTCACAAGTCAAAATAAGAGAAAAGGCACAAGTCATTTTACAGTTATTTTGTTATGCAGATAGTCATAAGTCATCAAACTAAAAGTAAAACATTATTTTGATTATTTTTAAATATTTTAAAAAATCTATAAAAATATAATTATAAGAAATGTGAAAACAGAATAAAAAAAGATAATAAATATTAGATTTTATTAAGTTTTAAGCTCCTCCTGAAAAGTAGCTATTTTTGACTAGTGCCCCTTTTCCCGAAAACCGTCCATTTGGGTTTAAATATTTTGAGAACAAATATTTTCAAAATAACTGTATAATATTCTTAAATAAATATTTGCGGTACAACCTAATTCAAATATTGTGAAAATATTAATGTTTTAAAATTGCTGTGTGGGATATAATATATAATATATATATATATACAATTAATATATATTATAATTAATTTTACCAAGGTCTATTATCTTTGGTATAAACATTTTAATAACTCAAGAACTACTCATTAATATTTTGATTTAGATAAATAAAAAAATAAAATGTACAAAACAATCATCCTCTATATAATTTACAGTAAAATGTTAGGTTGGGTTACATAGTACAATATATAGATTTTGGTTTAATACATTTTAAATATTTTTTTTTTTAAATGTTGACAGTAAAAATTAAATTTACTTTTAAATTTTACCTGTATTTATTTTTTTTTTCACTTTCAGATGAATCTTTATGTTACGCATCAGATATTGAACCCCAAAACATGTCAAATATTTTCAAATCACATCTAGCATCCTGGGCTACCAAAGAAAATATTACTTTAAAGGCTATGGATGGTTTGCTGAAAATACTCAAAAGACATGGTGGTCTTGAATATCTTCCTTCATCATCGCGAACATTGTTAAAAACTCCAAGAACTACTTACATCAAATCAGTTGGAGCAGAAGGTAGTTATTGGCATTATGGACTGGAATTAGGATTATTTACTTTTTTAGAGAGGTCTAAAAGTTATCATTTAGAAAATGAATCAATCAACTTAATGTTCAACATTGATGGCTTACCATTGAGTCGTTCATCATACAATGAAATCTGGCCAATTTTAGGCTCGATTTTCAAAATAAACTATGTATTTATATTTTATAGTATGTCATGTATTTAAGGAAATCACCTAAGTTAATTTTAATTAAGTTAATTAACTCGTTACTTTTTTTTCAAATTAACTTTTAACTTAATAAGTTACTTTTTTCAAGATGTTTGTTAATTTTATTTCAAAAGTATCTAAATTAAGTTAATTTTTGTCCGAAGAATAATGCAAATTTTTGAATGAGGTTTTTACTTTGATGTATCATTTTAAATGTTCATAGTAATTTTCTCGAGCGTAAAGAAAATCTATCGAATAAACCATAATATGTATCTGGTATTTTTTATTTTTGCAAATTGTCAAATTTTAACTTAACACTAAGTTAAGATACTTTTTTTTTCAAAGTTAACTTTTAACTTAACGAGGTTACGAAAAAAATACGAGTAACTTTTAACTTTATTATTTAAAAATAACTTAACGAATTAAAAAAAATTGTTAACTTGCCCAGCCTTGCAATAATATAATATGTATTTCAGTGACGATAATTACGTGTAGCATTGTTTACAATTTCTACTTATAATGGTAATACGCCATAACCGGTCAAGATATATACATAATTATTTCGTTAAATTATAGTAGTTATACGGACTAATAACAACAGAATTGGTTTGTGCGTCAATAACAATTTTACACTCATAAATATCAACATTTTAATTTATTAACTCCTTAACGGGAGTATATATTATTATATACATATAATTCGTTTATATAATCTTGTCAACGAATCATAATAATATTATAATTTATACTTATTAACCATAAATTATTTTAGATTCTGAGTGAAACGATGAATGTATTGATTTTACAATGATGTGTGTTTTTTATTTTTTTATTTTTTTATTTTTTTATTTTTTTATTTTTTTTGTATCTGTGTACACGATAAGTAGTCGAAATAATGCTTCGATTTTCGACTTCAGTATCTTGTTCGATTGGAAAGTGAATATCGTTGGTGCATTGGGGAGGTCAAAATTTAAATTTCCCAGTAGTTTTCACAAGCGCCGGGAAAAAACAACATAAAAATTAAGGAAAAACGGGAATTTTTACGCAAAATCGATTTTCCAAAAAATCAATTTTGGTTATTGGTGTAACTCTAAAACAAATGAACGTATATACATGAAATTTTCACTGGTTGTTTATATTTGCATTTTCTATACACGATAACATTTTCAAAATATTTTGATTTATTTTGACTTGTTTAGGGACATTTTCATTTTTCGTTTTTTTTTAGTTTTTTTTCTAGAAATATCAATAAAATTTTATTTGTTGGTTGCGAAAGCTTGAAAATTTCATAGAAGGCTCCTAATATATTGTTTCAAAGGCAGATGAAAAATATTAAAAATCCTTAGTCACAATTTTTTTTATAAGCATTTAAAGTTCAAAAATTGACAAAATATGGAAAAATCACGAAAATTAGCAAATTATTTTGAGTTAATAATTCGTAAAAATTTTTCTTTTTAAATCTAAGATTTGAAAATCTAATACAAGATTATTCATAAGATTTTCTACCTTTATCAATAAAAAAATTTCTACCGGAAAGTCAAATTAAATTTTTATGAGCGTTTGAAATTCAAATTTTTACAACATTGGATATTCACTCGATTTCTCATGTGGCAATTTCCTTTTTTGTTGTAATTAAAAAACGAATTACTGTAGATACATGAAAATTTCACTGAATGTTTATATTAGCATTTCCTATACACCCTACAATTTTGAAAATATTTTGACACTTTTTGAGCCGTTTACGGACATTTTCAGTTTTCAATTTTTTTAGTTTTTTTTTCTATAAATATCAATTAAGTTTTATCTGTTATGCCAAAAAGTGTAAAAATTTAATACAAGGCTCCTGATATATTGTTACAATATCAGTTGAAAAATATATAAAATACATAGGCACAATTTTTTTTTATAAGCATTTTAACATCGAATTTTGATAGAATTTTTCAAAATCTCGAAAATTATTAATCATCGTAATTAATAAATTATAAAATGTTCAGTTTTTATAGCTAAGGATTGAAAATTTAAAACAAGATTCCACGTAAGTAGTTAATTCTCTTACCGAAAAATCTAAAAAATATACAATCACAGTTTATTTTTATAGTCATTTTATGTTCAAATTTGGACGAAATTACATATTAAAAAACCTAGTTATTTTGTTGTGATTATATAATATTATTCGTGGGTACCTACTTGAAACTTCTAAAGTGTACTATTATATATATATGATAGTATCAGGGTTTGTTATTGATGTTAATGTATAACGTGTTATAAGTACCTAATGAATATTGTGATAATGTGATATGATTAATTTGGAATTTATTATAGGTCAATTTTTTTTTAATACCATAGATATAGATACCATAATTTGTATTAAACCTAGACTGACATACCGTCTTCGCTCAGAATCGTTTTTCTTATACAATGATATTGTATCATTGAATTCAAATTTAATAGCATCCATTATACAGTGACCCACTTGTAACCTACTGTACAGCAGAGCGACATCCACTTACCCACCTTTTTTATAAATGAGTTGTAATGATATAATATATAATCATAATATAATACGGTTATAGTTGGAAAAAATAATACTAACAATACCTATACTAACTGATTATGTATACTCGTATAGCCGTATATTCACAATGAACATTCACTATAATATCATGTTCGTTTAATGTCAAATAATTTATTATCATATTTGTAATTAATGAATACTTGTTTAATAGAACTTGTTATTAATCGGCGTAGGCAGGTACTATACTTAGTGCACCAACTTTATTATACGACGCATATGTTTATTAGGTATTATACTAGCACTGTGCTATAATAATTAGGTATATTATTAAACATGTACTACTTATTGCTCGTCGTGTTGTCAGCTCAATTATTATTATATTAAACGGTTCGAGAACACCCGTTGAAGAAATAATCGTTTAAACGTTTTAAATATACGCGATGAGCACTCTAGTATTACTAAAGTCGATCGATGCAAAAATATAAATAATAAACTTAATACCATACATATTATAATATATTAATCGTAAACGCGACGGCGGCAAGTTACAGAGAATTTCTCTGTGACTGAATTACAATTATATTTAATGAAGTTTGTATATTTATTATTTACCCTCAATTCTCGTAATAACACAATATAATAGTATTAGGTATATATTATTATTATATATTGTACCTATTATATTATAATACGTGTACATTTTTTTAGAATATAATTCTAAAAAATCTGTTTAAATTCAAAATATTATTGGCCTTTAAAATATTGAAATATTCCGGTACTAGGTTCTTGATTTTATATCGATATAAATTAAACAATTACTTGACTATAATATATGATTATAATTTATAATAATATCTAGATTTTGAACGTCTAAATCTTACAAAATGTTGTAATATATTTACTATAGGTCCCCTATATATATGGTACCTAATACCTACTGTGTTTCATATTTCTGGTCATAGTTCTGCTTCTGATTTTAAGTACCTATTGCACCTATATGCGTCCATTATAGGTTCGTACAGTAGAGTACGAATAAATATTTAGGCGTAGGTATACGTACAAAGTGGCCCACACAGGTCGGAATTTGGAAAAGTAGACAGCACAATCGGTTCGGTGAGACATACATTTACCTACTCGTTTTTGTTAATAATTATATTTATTCAATATATTGGCTATTATTATTAATCAGCTATAGGTATAGGTTGATATATTGGTGGTACGTTCTACCACGTGCCACCGCCTCTCGGCCATGAGCTCTACATCAAAGTGACTAAATTATTATACCAATTAGCAGTTCAGGTCGTGCATAATATATAGGTTTAAGTTTACTGTTTCGAGTTTTATTTGCTTGGAATATAGTTATACTGTTTCGAGTCATTCGGTTACTCGACAATAACACGCGTAAATGCAATGACGCATATATAGGAGGTGTTAATGGTCTTCGGAAGAGTTTTAAATCGTCTTCGGCATTCGTAGAGTATTATTGCCTCATCATATTCCTGCAGCGTCTCCTATATGGGCGTGAATCGCGGCGGCGGATGGCGGTCTGTGAAGTTTTTCCGAGAAACCATATAAGACACCATTAACAACGATTAACGATCCAGCGCGGTGTTTGCTAAACAGGAAAACAAAAGACGACAGAGGTGTGCAACGTTATTGTGTGCATGTGTACATTCCTATTATGCTATAGTAATCATAATATTGTAATATAGGTACGCAGCGGGACATTATTATATAATATCATTCTTCCGTTTGTAACTTACTATTTATGAATATAATAATATATTAATAAATAATAGGCATGTAGGTATATAGGTATAGGTACGTTGTATATAAAATATGGATATTATATTCTACATGTAGGTTAATGAATAATTTATTTCAACCATAAAAATTAAACGAATTAAAAAGTCATCAAGTGTATATGTTTAATAGTGTTACATAATATATTATATAAGATTAAAGTTTTTTTTTTTAATAGATCGGTTAAATTCAATTGTTTTGCATAATATATTAATATGATGATTTCGCCTGGCTGAGTGGCGAAGTGCGGGTACCGGTACTATGTATGCAGCTGTCGGTGTCTGCAAATTTGTGCCATATTATATAATATTCTAATACCGATTTAACCACAATATATTAGTATTTAAAGTTAAAAATAAGTGTTTAACTCGACAGAGATTCGATTCAAAGCATTGTTATTTATCAATTTAATAATATAGCTTAAAAGTTAAAGCCAAGTCAACTTAAACAGTTTATAACTATTAACTCGTAATTTCGTTAATACCTGGTAACTATGGCAATAGATATCTAAGCATACAATAATTGTCTATAATAATTTTTTATTTAAATCAAATGATTTTTATTAAGTAGATACCGAAGTAGGTATCTAATTATATTACTTGACGGCAACGACGATTAAACTTTATCCTAATCCAAGTCCACTTATATTTTAATAATATAATACCTACCTGGGTAGCAATAATGGGTCTAGCAATAATTGTGACTGTAATCGTAATAGATAATCAGTCTTACAGATATATAGATTTATAGTTTAGTTCGTTATTCAGGTAGACTAGTGATAATATACATTATACATACGTTATTATGTTAGCCAAAAATGTCAATTTAATTATTCAGTCGGAAGAAAATACTATCAGGTTTTTTTAACACAATCTTTGGCTTAATATAGTTGATTGTTGATGTATTCATTATTTATGTGTAATATATTATTATTCTTTATTTATAAGGACATTTTTATTAATAAAAAAAAAGGACTTATTCAAATTCATACTCTTTATGTGAACACTGTGGCATCCAAACAAAATTGTATGTCGGGTAGAAAGTTTGTAAGGAGTTCTATAACTTCATATATATATATGTTTAAAAATGCATGGTATAATATCACCATATTTGCTGCCTTCATATTTAGCAGAACGATGATAACAGGACCGGCGCAAGGGCAGTGTAACCAATGCACCTGCACATGGGTCGGTGCAAATGTATGGCCCCGCGGAACCAGAGCTTATACTTTGGAAAAGCAATTCATTACTAAACAAATCTTATATTTTTTAAAAGATAACATTTTTCAAACTACAGTTGAAATAATAGTTCAGTGACATAACCTAATCTTTATTTAAAACATAATTTTATATTTTTAAAACAATTTAAAAAATCTCAAAAATGTTTAACAATATTTAATATTTAAGGTACATTGAAGAGGATAAACAACGTAAATCGGAACTAGGTACTGAATTAGTAACTTAAACGGTCTAAAGCTAAACTATATAGTATGAAACCGCATAGGGTTAATGCGCATAATTAAGTTTCAGTAAATTACAATATGATAAGTTAATAACCGTCTATAGTAGGCACTCTCAATTATATATATAGATCCTTTACAAAGCTACTCTAAAATCACTTTATTTATTTTTAGATTCTGAAACGGAGGATCAGATCTATTGGTTTTTCAATGATGTTTAATTTAATTTTTTAATTTTTTGTCTATATATAGGCAAATTTTTGGGTAAAGTTTTTAGTTTAGATTTTTGTAGTAAAGTTCGTCCAAAAGTTAGGTACGTTCAGTCACTCTCGTGTAGGTATAATTCAACAAAATATTATTGGTTGCATGTGAACTACGGCAAAATTAACCTTTTTTTTAAAGTTAATATGTAAACTGCTGCAAAACAAAATTTAACATTATACAATCTGCGACAAAACCGATAAGATACATTATACAAACTGCGGAAATTTATTTTAAATGCCTATACCATTGATTAAATATACTTAATATAGTGTAAGTAAACGATATACTTCATATACTATAGTCTTCAAACATATCAATATGATAACATAAATAGTATAATATAATATTATACCTAATAAAAATGTGGCTATGTGATATTATGTACGTATATCCTTTAATTGATTTTGTTATGTTAAATACAAATTGGTAACGTAAATTCAAATGTATTCAAGTGTATACTTAGTAAGTACTAAATAGTATGATGTAGGTACCTATATAATTTGTGTTATAGTATCGATACTTTTATAATGTATATGCGTGGGAAGGTATATATGTTACCGGAAAAGATGAAAATTCAGGAATTGTCGGTATATCCTAGTCATTGTTGACAATGACTGGAAAGGTAAGTCAATGTTGGATATTTCGTAGTTGTATCAACATTTCCTTATTATATTAGGCAATGTTATAAATCCGAATCGAAACAAATATCAACACCGCGCTTTGATGGTGATCGATCTGATTATGGAACATAGCTATCTATACTATTATAGTACCTATATAATATAGTAAACCCTGTTGTATATTATCGTTTGTATTGCTTATAACTTATAATGAAATTAACAAATGAAAAATTATAGTAGGTACTATAAGCTGGTATCGTTATGGACACATCCCGCAAGTGACTGAACAGTACTGTTTGTGCATTGAAGTACCTAGTGAATAGCAACGTATAATAACTAATAACATTGTGTTTAATAATCTTAATAATCTGTTTAAAAATGGATTTAAATGAAATGCACATAAAATTTGACAGCTATGAAGTAGCTGCCTTTAACAGCATTTCTGGATCCCAAGGTTTTAAGAGATGCTACTGTCAGTGGCATACATAAGGGGGGTCCATGGGGTCCACCCCCCTTGAACCGTGTCTCGTACATGTTAAATTTGTGTTTTTACATGATTAAGAAAAACAAATTTTATCATACGACACGAAGGATTTTGTAAAAAAATGTCGAAGCTTCAATTATGAACATTTTCAATTATCTAATATCGTGATTTTTTATATCAGTTTGGTACAGAAAATGGTTTAAAAATACCAAGTTCATTTTTTAATTCAAATATTTTGTAGTTTTGTACATTTCCAGTAGCTACAGCCACTCATCCCGAGTCCAGAGAGATCTATTTCAACCTTAAAAAGGTTGAAAAGTTATCTAAGATCAACTATGAAGTAATGTATTAAATACATAATGTCATAATATATATTTTTTATTTTATGTATATAATAATAATAATTTAAATACATATCGTAGTACATAATAAATATTTTTTGCTAATTATTTTTTTATGGATAGTATTATAATATTTAAATGTTCTATATACACATTAAGTTAATAATGTAAAAAAAGGTGCTTTGCTGTACTGCTGCAGTAGGTTATAAGTGGGTCAATGTATAATGGAAGATATTAAATTTGAATTCAATGATATAATATAATTGTATAAGAAAAACGATTCTGAGCGGAGACGGTATGTCAGGTTAGGTATCTAAGACATATTATATACTTATCTATGGTATTAAAAAAAAATTGACCTATAATAAATTACAAATTAATCATATCACAATATCCATTAGGTACTTATAACGCGTTATACATCAACAACAAACCCTGATACTATCATAGATATATAATAGTGTACTTTAGAAGTTTCAAGTATCCACGAATAATATTATAAAATCACAACAAAATAACTTAATCAGTTATTCTAGGTTTTTATTATGTAATTTCGTCCAAATTTGAACTTAAAATGACTATAAAAATAAAATTTACTTATGTATTTTTTAGATTTTTTGGTAACAGAATTAACTACTTACGTGGAATCTTGTTTTAAATTTTCAATCCTTAGATATAAAAGTTGAACATTTTATACATTTTTAACTAAAAAATAATTATTCAATTTTAAATTTGATAAATTTGATCAAAATTCGATCTTTAAATGCTTATAAAAAAAAATTGTGCCTATGTATTTTTAATATTTTTCAATTGCTATTATAACAATATACCAGGAGCCTTGTATTAAATTTTAACACTTTTTGGCCCAACAGATAAAACTTTATTGATATTTCTAGAAAAAAAACTAAAAAAAAATGAAAAATGAAAATGTCCCTAAACAGTTCAAAATAAATCAAAATATTTTGAAAATGTTATAGTGTATAAGCAACCAGTGAAAATGTCATGTATATACGTTCATTTGTTTTAGAGTTACACCAAAATCCAAAATCGATTTTTTGGAAAACAGATTTTGCGTAAAAATTCCCGTTATTCCTTAATTTGTATGTGTTTAATCTTGTGAAAACTATTGGGAATTTTAAAATTTGACCTCCCGAATGCACCAACTAGATTCACTGCAGTCCAATCGAACGAGATACTGAAGTTGAAAATCGAAGCATTATTTCGACTACTTATCGCGTACACAGACACAAAAATAAATAAATAAATAAAAAAAAAACACACATCATTGTAAAATCAATACATTCATCGTTCCACTCAGAATCTAAAATAAATAAATATAAAATGTAGGTAAGTTCCTATTTAGAATTAGAGAAATGCGTGCGATTTATACTTTGTGTATTATTGAATGATCTTTACCTGTTTTACTAGATATTAGATAATATTATTATTATAACATCTTTATACATATTGTTATTATTAAATATAAAAATATGTGGTAAACCGTAGACACTAGACCGCATATTATGACAAAAATACCAAAATGTTTTATTTGCTGCTCATATGACCATTAGGCCGTAAGTTCGTGCCCCGTAACATACAGTTTATACTATATTATAATGTTATTGTTCCGTTAAACAATTTATTACAGTATTATAAACACATAAATGTATTAAAATATACATGTACGATGTACCATTGTACCCGCACAATAACATAGCAATATGTGTGTCTGTGTGCTTTTTCGAGGTGGTGCGTATTTTATTCAACTTCAGTTATAAACTAATAAAAACATTTCAATCATAGTATTATTAAATAAATATTTTTTAAACACATTTACAACAGGTATTCTGTATAAGACTGGGCTGAATTTGGGGGGATTAAACCCCGCGGTGTGCTCGTGTCGACGATTTAGAACGGAGAAGAGGACTCGAGTCGGCGTCGGCGGCAATGTTGTTGTACCGCACGTCACCGTCGCAGTACCCCACCACGATCCGCGGCACGACCGCCAAAGACGAACGGCCGCGGCGGAATCGGTCCGGCAAAGCGGTTTCCCCGCCGCCACAACCGTTCGCCGGTCCACCGCGGTCGGTACCTGTTTCGCCGGTCGTCGTGCGCGCTGCTCCTCGCGTCTTGTAAAAACGTTTTTACCTCCGCGCCCCCCTCGTCAAAGGTGCTCGCAATTTTCCGATTTTTTACACCGGTTTCCACCGAGTTTCGTGAAAGTTTTGGTCGAGAGGTTTACTACGCCTTCCGCGGGGCCGCCGAGTGCGTGTAACTCCGCAGGCCGCCGGACCATCTGTCGTTGAAAAACCATGGAAAACTCCGGAGACGCGACGACGTGACCCACCGAATCCACTGTCGCTGCTGCCGCCACCACCATGTACTCGGCTCGAAATCGGAACGCCATGATCACAGGTGAGTTCAGCCGATTGCGTATTAATTATATTCGTAGGCGGGGGTGGGTGGGTGGTTGCAGACGTTAACTTACAGAGTCGACCGACCCGAAGTAAAAGTTTGGATCGCCGGTCCAGTTTGCCCCTCTACCCACCTAATGTAAACCACCCACTGCCACCCACCAGAGGTATCATTGCGAATCGTGGTTAAAAATAACAGTTGCTGGTAGGTATTATAATAATATTATGTAGATCATATTATATTATTATGATTTGTGGGGTCTTTTAAAACTGTAAAAGCATAAGGTCGTATTATTATTATTGTTATTATTATTGTATTATTGTTATCGGTGTGAAATTTCCGTCGGACGACGACCGCGACCGGATGGTGTAGGCAAAACCGGTGTTACATAAATCGTGGTGTCGCACACCGTCGCCGTTACACTTACCTACTGCTGCTGCTGCAGCTACGGTTTAATAATAATAATGATATTAATATCGGTTTGGTACGCTCAACAGGATATCTGTATAAACGACGTGCTTCGGGTAGGTGTCGTCCGCGCGTGGGATTCGTGTGTGGTTGGCACCGCGGCGACGACGGGTCGGCGCGACTGCCGTCGTCTCGCGGTAATAATATTTCATCGCCACGCTTTCCTGGAAACGCGCGGGCCGCGACGAGTCTCGCTCCGATTCTGACCCCCCCCCCCCCCCCCCAAGGGCTCATCACCATTGCCCTCCGCACATTTTGTGTTTTATATATTTTTTTTCTACCCTCTGGGCCAACCCCGTCGTATACTCACATAAAACGCGATATCATTGTGCGTATAATATAATATAGGTATACCGTGGAACGTGCCCGTACATTATTATTATATTATACGGTATCGGTATGTCTGTATATACCTATATAGTACCCATGTCCTATATAACTATATATAACTATATGTGTGCCCGCGGCGCGCTTAATCGAATCGATTTCTTTAGAAAAAAAAAACGACCATCCGTTTTTATTTTATATTTCGTCTTCACCGAACCTTTTCGGATCCAGCCGGTGCCTGTCTTACAATATTATTATACATTTATACATACACTGGAACATTGCGACTACGGCGTCGACCGAATGTAGGTATACAGACACGTCCGTTTTGTTCTTTTTAAACGTCCGTTTCGACGATTGTTATCGAAAACCCATTGCTTATTACTATTATTATTACCGTTGTTGTCGTGCACGTGAAAATCGCTCGGGCATTCGGTGGTAGAACGTACTTATAGTGATGTAAAATAGGAGCAGGTGGTATCCGCCGTTGCTGCAATTGAGTGCAGTCGTCTCGTACACTTTCTGCTCTCCGTTTCCGAAAATGGAACTGATTTCGATGTATACATACGTACGCATATAATATGTATATGGATAAATCGTCGTATTGTTTTCACTTTTTAGAAACTCGCACAAAGCTCCCACACGATCTTTTGTATAAATTGCGCAGCATCGGGTACATTATAACCCCCGTGCAGTGCGTGTACAGGACGAGTAGGACGACGTGCGTTATAAATGCGGTATTGTCATCTGGTTGATTTGTTTTTTTTCTCATCCGAATCGGTCACGCGGTTAAATTTACGACTAAATCGAAACGAACACGACACGGACGCCGAAAATGCATTAGTACTACTTAGGAACCGGGCGGCGTAAGTGGGTTCTTACTGCATAATAATATAATACCTGCATGCATGCGTCTGCAGCAAGAGTGCAGTAGGTAGTTTGAATAATACTTACTATCTACCCATATTATGTTATTATAACGTAATTTATAAAATAATTATTTTCGACTGTCAAGGTGACGTTGTCACTCCAAGGTAATACTTTCTCCGTTTATTTGATATTACTCCTCTCGTCGCGGTATTTATTGTACCTATACCAAATGCCGACACTATAGCTATAATATATATTTAATACCTATATTATGCATAGATAATTCGAGAACATTAATTTCAGATATCAAACATTACGATACTACAAGGTGAATCTTTTAAAAGTAAACGCTCTTTATCCCTAAAATACCTATGAACGCTTTTTAAACAACAATAATAATAAAAAGAAATGCTTTCAATTTTCATTTTTGTACGATATCATATACCTAATTACATTTTCAATTTCTGATTTCAAAGCAGAATGTTTTTCGGAGTATTTTGATACATAAAAATTAAATTTTGAATGAATAGTTAATTAGTCATAACTTATAAGTATTTAAAATTGAGAGGAGCTGAGTAAAAATAAATTATTTTCATAATCGTCAATACTTTTCGATACCTACTTATAATACTTGATTACTGTTAAAAGAATCATCCAGTATATTAATAAATAGATATATACGTCCTTGATATTATAGGTACTATTTGCGCCGAAACGTAAGTATGCGAATAGGAAAACACGATTATCGTCGTCATCGTGAAACGATATTGAATAGGTACCTAGGTAGGTACGTACGTAAACCGCTCGCGTAACATATGTTATCTCCGGTGTAGTGATGATGTTTCGTTTCGAAGGTGAACGTTTAGCCACCGCGATTACCATGGTCCATGAATACCTAACCTACTATATGGTCGATTTTTAAAGCATACGGTATTGACTCAAATAATGCAATTATTGCGTTTAACTGGGTTAAAGCTATAGCCGGTTGATAAGTTTCGGATTATGCAGAATTATTACGGCATTTTCAACTTTCTATTGCCTATTTAATTTGCTGCCAAGTAAACTATATAAATCTTTTATAAAATACCTATGATAAACGAGTTTATATTATGAATATTGCTTATGTTAAGTTTTATGCACTTTTACAAGTTAGCTAAAAAACCTTCTCACCTTATTATTGAAAAAAACAACAAAGTTTTTTGGAAAAAATTTAATTTTTAATTATAGGTATATTCATTATAATAGTGTTTACAATGTATAAATTAATTAACCATTACCTAAATCAAAATAATATAATTAAAATAGGTACATTGGTGAAAATGTTAATTCCAAAGTTATTATTTACTTTTGAAAGGTACCTCCTATTATTGTAATGTTTTGAGAAAAATAAATAATCTATATACCTACATAAATATGTATGTCGAATAATATGTGATATTATTACTATTTATTAATATATATTTATAATAATTGTATATAATTCATTTGACATTGGCATTCAATTTTGATCTGCAAAAAAATATTTCAATTAACTATTATGATATTCCCATGGGTTTGTCATTAAATCAAAATAATATACTTATTGAATACTAATAGGTACGAGTAGTAGAACTAAACTTCAACGAATGTTCAAGTTTCAGTCCCTCTTACACAATAAAGTATAATATATAATATTAATATGTGAGTAATATGTATATTGTATAGGTACATTAGTCATTATTCATTAGTTTTGTTATAATCCTGCCATATTCTGTAGGTTTCTATCAGAAAGGTAGAAAGGTAGACATTAAATACAATACTGAATTAAATACATATTACTGTCGTCTGTCGTATCACAGCCGTTTTGTAATTAGTAATCAAAAAATTATCATCACCAGTAAAAAAAAAAAAAATTAAATTAAAATATAATATCAATAAAGACATTTCAAGAAGTATTCGGTAACAAATAACATCATCGCATTCACGTAATATTACGAGTCACGACAACAACTATTCTCATTTGTGTTTTATTTTTTTATATATCATAAAAAATGTGGATAATAAATAATGACAGTCAGTAGCTATGAGTCGTATAGCGTCATTATTTAATGTAGCATTACAGTTAGACAATTATTTAAATTTTTAGAATCGATTATAGATAATAATAATATTTTTTTTTCGCTTGCGATTTGTTTAGACTTAACATGCTGGCACACCGGAACACGCCATATAGCGCCTAAACAATAACATTTATCTTATTACCTTTTTTTCCCTTCAATATAATGGGTAATAAATAATATTGTGCTAAAAAAAATGCTACAATTTATTGAACCTGTACTGTCAACTGCTTTGTAACATTTTATGGTAGTTTATTTTGAAAAATTCAGTACTTGTTTCCCATTCATGGAAAATGAAATAAGTATGTAGGTCAAACTAGATATTCCTTATTGTACTTATCCGATATACATCACGATGGTCGACATAGCGCAGTGGAAACTTCACTGTGTTCATTTTATACACGTCCATGGAACGTCGTATGTAGATAAGTAATATTTTAATAAAATACATTGTTTTATTTTTGTTTGCATTTCGATATTCATATTGTTTTCTTGTACCGGATTGTACATTCGCATGGTTTCGCATACGTTTATAAATTAATTTTTTATAATTTTTTTTTATCTAATTTACCTTTACGTTTGAATGTAATATTATCCTACACGTGTTTCGACAACTTGGTAAATAATATGTTGTGTACATTATACCGATTATACTGTAGTTTTGTAAACAGATGACACAACGAAGACACCGCGATAATATTATACACTGAAATTCACGTATATCATTAAACATATATAGTTAACATTATAACTTATAAGGACTATAATATTATTATTATCATGGCAATGCACTATTCTTGTAAACGTGTATATTAACTATATTATTATCTTATACTATATTTGGCAGCAAATTGGAATAATTTTCACTTTTACATTAATCACAGTCTCGGATCTAATAAATTTGAATAATATTATGTTTGCAATATTATTATTCATCAATATTCAATACCTAAACATACGGTATCCTGCAATCGCTCCACTTATAATATTTATAAAGAAATTTATCAAACACTCAACATGTAACGACGCCATTATGTTGTATTACAATTTCACAGATTTTTATTCGTATAATTTATTTATAATTAAAACTATTAACATTAGTTATTTTTTTCATAAAATATGATGTGATCATGTTCATGGTTGGTGGCCAACATGTTAGATCGTATCTTGCATGAATATACGATACGTTTCACCTAAGATCATTTACCGATATTAATTATAATATGATTAAATTGGAAA